GCGACAGGACACTGAGATTATGGCGGTGGGTCATTGGCAGTGGTTGGGAGGAGCTGGCAACAGCGCGCGGTGCACACCGCTACGGCGTGACCGGGGTGCGTTGGTCAGACAGCGGCGCGCTCCTCGCCTCCAGCGGCGTGGACGGGGTTGTTCGCGTCTGGAGCGGACGCTCACTGGCGTCGCGTCGGACTTTGGCGGCGCCCAATGCCACTGCAGCTCGCGCCCTGTGCTGGGCCGGCGGCGGGCGGCTGGTGGCTGGTCACGACGACGGCGCGCTTTGCGTATGGCTCGTACCGCGCGGAGATCTCATCGCTCGTCTCGTCGCACATCAGGGTTCATTGCAAGCGATATCGATACCGGCACGGCGTACACTTCTACTCACTGCATGTACTGAGGGCGTTCTAAAAGTCTTCGACTTAATCGGTGTGACAATAGAATGACACGATTTTTAACATTGTATTTATTTTATTTTATTGATTTGTGATTAATAAATATGTAACTTTACAGAGATTTGCAAAAGCGGTCTAACCGGTGATGATAGACCGACACCGGCACCTTTGACATGGATCGATAGTGCTCACGACCTAGGCGTGCTGTGTGCGGATGCTGCAGAAGATAGTTGCCTCGCTGCCACCGGCGGGCACGACGCGTTAATTAGGGTGTGGCGGGCTGTTCCAGGAGAAGAGGGTAGGAGAGCAGGAGGTATGGAGGCAGCTGGTGTATTGGAAGGGCACGCAGCCGCGGTGACGGCATTACGATGGGCGCATGGAGGAGGGGAAGCTGACGAGCTATTAGCTTCATCATCGTTGGATCGTACGGCGAGACTGTGGGCTCCAGCTTCTGAAGCTTGCCTGCATGTCGTACACGCTCATCCACGATATCTTACGTGTATTGCGCTCTCGTATGATTTACAATACATGGTAACAGGTACTATATTTACCGAATCTGCGAGTTTTATTCGTTTATACTCGTATGTATTTCAGTGAAAAGAAATGTAACAATTTATTCACAGGTTCAAATGATAAATCAGTTCGCATGTGGAGTTTGAGCAGATTAACACTAGACGATGATTTGGATCCGTCATGTCCGACATTAATGCATTTCGGACTAGGCGATTTAGAGGTAACTTTAACGATATTTTTTTTAGTAAAGTGTTTACTATATTTATATGGGTTGTTATTGTTGTTTTAGGGTATAGAGCCCGTTGCTAGTGATGAACTGGATCTCGAAACAGAGAACGAACAAGGTTTAGAAGCGGAAGGTGGTAGAGCATGTCGAGTGTGGCGCGATACAGAGGCGCATACGGGCGCTATTAACTGCATCACTACTCATGGCGATTTACTGGCTACAGCTTCTAGGTAATACCGAAAGGAATTTTAACATTTATTCTATTCCTTGGTCATTATGTAATTAATATTATGATGAACTACTAATTTCTTCCTGTAACTACTTACGAGTGTACATGTACTCGTATGTTACAGACAGCGATATCAAATATGTAGTACTGTACTCGTTATATGTAGAGTACGAAATGTTCACAATTGTAATGTACGCGAGGCAGTGACGGCTTGGTGAAGATATTCCGGTGGTGCGAGCCGGGGCCAGAGGCGGGCGCGGCGGGCGAGCTGCGCGTGGAGCACGTGCTGGAGGCGCACCGCTACCCGGCGCTGGCGGTCGAGTTCGGCGCCGGCGGCGCGCTGCTGCTGTCCGCCGGCCTCGACGGGTACGCCGCGCTCTGGGACGTGCAGGTATCAATGTTACGTAACGTAACTTATACGCTATCCTGCCATATTTCTTTTTCTTTTTTTTTTACATTTATCTTCATTTATTGCACTGTTAGTTTCATGATTCTTCTAATAAAAGTATTTATTTATTTGATAGAAAATATAAATATACCAGAGGGAGAAAAGTCTCAAAAGTTTCAAAAGTTGATTGCTTGGGTACATCTGTCCCATTCGTGTTTCAACCGTGAAGCAGCTGTGTTTGCATGGCTGTGTTTCGGTTTGAAGGGTGGGATATGGCGTGAATTTACTGGGTACAGAGGAATAATACCAGGACTGGCAACGCATGGAGGGTATTATGGGCGAAACAGTATACTCTGTTATGTCCATGGTACTGCTCATGTCTATAGGCGACGGTTACCACTTTCCATCAGGTCAGCTTCGTTTCGTCAGCTTGTTTGCCCTTCTAAGTTGTATAGAAAAACACGGTATAGTAATTAGGAACATACCTATTTTTGGTTAATTTTGAAATAACCAATACCCAGTAAAAGTAGTTTTTATCACCATCGTTTCAGCTTATCGGTTAACTGCTATATGCTATAGCTACTGCTCGTGGCAATATGCCATCATCCTTGTTAATTTGCAGTATGTGTTGTGTGCAGGTGGGGTGCCAGCTGCGGGCGCTGAGCGTGCCGGCGGGCGCGGGCGCGGAGGGCGAGGCGGGCGGCGGCGGCGTGCGCGGCGCGCGCGTGTCGCCGCACCGGCCGCCGCTGCTGCTGCTCGCCACCGACGACGGGCTCGCGCCGCTCTGGAGCCTCGCCGACCAAGATCCCAAGCCGGCACAGTTAATACAGTAACAGTGCTCGTGCCGTTCTTGACCGACTTTGAATACGAGGAGCATTCCAATTCGATTATATTTATTATTTGTATGTAGCATATTAATTTTAATTTTGAGAAAACGTTCATATACTAATTAATGTTAGCTTTACTTACGTTTTCATTTCAATTTGGTTTAAGTAGTCAGTTTTTAGTGTTTCTCTATTTGTGTGCTCCCCGAGTGTGTGTGTGTTTAAAACGTGAGTAAAGCCGATGAAGAAAAACAAAAAAAAAAATAGTGTAAATAAAATCATGCTTTAGTTAGCGATGATATTGTTTTTAGATGGAAGATGGATGGACAGTGTACCCAAATATTTTAATACTGTATCGGGCTTGTGAGCGTAGTTGCATACATAGCTCATGTTTACTATATCTTGGTTTAAAATGTTATTCGTATTTGAAGTCAGGTAAAAAGAGCATTATTATGGGTTTGAAGATCACAATATGTTTTATTTTTCAATATATTTACTTATCTGTTATGTTACAAAGTATCTAATTAACTTCCTACAACGCTTACTTTTATTATGATAAAATTCCCGATGTAGACTAATATGATCATAATAAGAATAAGAACGTCAACACAGATAAAGAATTAGAACCGATGATCGGAGGTTCAGTGCAACCATAGCAAAAGGTATATATTAACCTACAGGCTGTACTTTAGACCAAAGTGGTCGTCTATAAGTTTATGAATTCTAAAAGTCTAAGTCACTATAAAAATAGAACGAATATCAAAGGTATTACAATATTAAGGTTTTTTTTTAATTGGTGAAGATGGAATGGTAACCTCGTCTGCGCTATCGGTATACACTGGTGGGCCACCAGTGATATTGATAGTGATAGGTGAAGATGAAGGCTGGTCAGTTAGCTCATAGTGACCAATTGAAAAAAAAATGAATTAACCATTATGGTTTCCAAGGAGAACCGCATGGAGGTCGACCTGATAGGGTGTATTAGTAATGGGGCTATTAAATCTCATTACTAGCAATCCCTTTCCCCCGGTATATTAAGGTTACTTCAGGGTCGGTATTGGACACGTGACACCCTAATGTTACAGACGTCTATAGGTTGCAACCACCATTTATTATCTTATCCAATGGCTGTATGCTTGATTGGCACATTTGGGGTGAGAGAAAAAAAAAGGAAAGGGTAATCTTTGTAGCAATTTCCAGTCAGTCCTATTCTTATTTTGATCACGTTACTATTGTTGCATGGATTTGGCCTTTGTATCCCTGGGGTGATTTGTGATTGGTGTGGTTTTAAAATAAGTATATGATGTAGAGAGGGTACACACGGAGTGTACATGGCCTATTCGAGGGTTGCTTAAAGTGTGCCGCTTGCACGTGCTCGTGTGCAATGTGTTGGTGTTGGCGACATGTGACACGTGGCACGTGATGCGCGAGGCGCGGTGGTGTGTGTGCAGCGTGTACGGCGGGCACGCGGAGGCGGTGACGTGCTGCGCGTGGTCGCGCGACGGCCGGCTGCTGGCGACGGGCGCGGCCAGCGGCGAGCTGCGCCTGCACGCGCCGCCGCCCGCGCCGCGCACCCTGCACCACGAGCCGCACGCGCACGATCTCGGTATTAATTCTCTTGCCTTGCACGTTGCTCTTTACACCTTATCCTTCTTCGATATCTTCACAGACGTTTGTATGTACGAATGTAGTGTACAGTCTATAATTTAATACTCATCTAGTGTTGTGTTGCAAATTTTATTCATAATATTTTATTTTTTACTGAACCAGGTGTTATCTTGTGGAAGTCCATGTCAGTGGTTATTTGATTAGAATTATTATGTTTAATTCCACTACCAATGTGTCTGCTAACACTCGAAGATTACTTTTACTCCCAGAAGTCCTTTTTTTTATACAACTTAGAATGGCAAACAAGCTGACGGCCCATCTGAAGGAAAGTGGTAACCGTCGCCTACAGTCATGAGTAGTACCATGGATATAACAGAGTATACTGTTTCGCCCATGATACTCCCTATGCGTTGCCATTCCTGAGGGCTCAAGTGTTATTCCTCCGTACCCAGTAAATTCACGTTATATCCCACCCTTCAAACCGAAACACAGCCATGCAAACACAACTGCTTCACGATAGAAACCTCCTTTAATCGTGCTATATCTACTAGGTGTTCAGAGCTGCGACTTCTCCTCGTCCGTATCAATGTTAGACTTGTCGAGTAGCGAGGACTCCTACCTCCTGGCAACCGGGGGCTGCGACTCTCTGATCAAGTTGTGGATCATCGTACTGGATCAGGTAATGCTGGTTACCAGTAATTCGAGTTCTATTTTTGTTACGGCTAGACTGTAATTTCGAGTTATCGTTGTCCAATATGATAAACCGAATCTTCAAATCTGTGTACAGAGAGGGGATTAAATCCTATCGGTCGATTTCCCAGCGTTAACCAATTTCGAAGCGATTTCCAAGCGTCGATGGGTTAACGACTTCATGTTTCATCCTATTCGTGCCCTGTCATTGTCATCTGTTGATATATTTTTATATATTTGTTAGGGCACGTTAAGGGCACATCTAAATCCTCATTAACAGGACATGGCGGGCGACCGTGCGAGCGTGAGACTGATGCGTCAGTTCGAGGCTCATGGCGGCGGCGTGACGTGCGTCCGCTGGGGGAGCGACGAGAGCAGTGCGCTGCTGGCGTCGGCGGGCGCGGACCGCTGGGCACGCGTGTGGCGCGCGGGCGGCGCGGGCGGCGTGCGCGCCAGCTGCGCCGTGCCGGCGGCGGGCGCGGCGGCGCGCGGCGCGCTGGCCGCGGCGCTGCTCGGCCGCGCGCTGCTCGCCGTCGGCTCGCTCGGCGGCGAGCTGGCGCTGTGGCGGCTCGCGCCCGACGACGACGCACTCGACGACGACGAGGGAGCGGCGCCTCGCTTTTGGGGCGAAGCAGGGGTCGCGCGCTGGCTGAGGGAGTACGTCACTAGGCCCGGTGGTAGATACCATTTTTTTTACTATTTTCGTCCCCTTATTTTTGGATTCGTGAATACAATTGTCGTCCTTCGTGGCGCAGCAGTCAACACGCCTGCCTGCGACGTGGAGGCCCCGGGTTCGATCCCCGGCCAGGTCATGATGGAAAACGATCTTTTCCTGATTGTCCTGGGTCTTGGATGATTATCTATATATATATCTATTATAAATATAGTATCGTTGAGTTAGTATCCCATAACACAAGTCTCGAACTTACTTTGGGGCTAGCTCAATCTGTGTGATTTGTCCGTATATATTTATATTTATTATTTATTTATATTAATTATTGCACGTGCGTTACGATTTTTTAACGTAAATACGGGTTGTGAATGTGGAAAATTGTTTTAGCTCGCTGAGCAATTAAAAGCTCTTGCTTACGGACAACAGTTTAAGACCATTTTCGGATCCATAATTAATCACTAGCAATTGAGCATAGTGTTTTTAATCGTAACCGGTATAGATGTAACATGGACGTTAGACATGACTTTAGTTTTGTCCACGTTCATTTTAAAACCTATCTGTTGAGAAGCAGTATTAAGATTATTGAGCATAGTATTCAAGTCCTCCAGGGATTCCGTCATGATTACTATGTCATCGGTAAATCGAAGGCGTGTGATAAATTCCCCATTGATGTTTATATCATATCTTTTCCAGTTCAAGAGTTTAAAAACATATTTCAATGTAGTTGTGAAAAGTTTCGGTGATATGCCATTATCCTGTGTTACACCTTTTTCACTGAGATGAGTCTCGTATTCTGGTTCTCTACTCGAATAAACATCGTAGCCTTACTGTATATACACTTCAATACTTCGATAAACCTATAGTCAATCTGTCACCGCTGGAGGGCTTGTGGGACAAACCTTTAATTCGTTCGAGACATAAGCTGTAGCTTATGTCTCGAACGAATCAAAGGTTTGTTCATAGTCCACAAACACTATACATACATACAGATACTCTTTGGTCTTTTGTATAATCTACCATTGCATATGCTTATTGTGCTAAAGCCTTTTCTGAAGCCAGACGTTTAAAACTATCTATATTAAAAATCCATTTTTTTCTATGCATTGAATTTTATATTACAGCGACTACTAAACTGTTCGTTCACTCTCAGGCCGTTGTAATATGAACGCGCTTCAAACATCGGACACCGTAATAGTAGCATGGAACCAGGAAATCATTACGTTAGCTCAAACACCCATTTTGTGTTGCACAAGTTATTTGTTACAGTCAAATTGTTATTATGTTTATTAGAATCCCACACCGAGCCTCGTGAATTGGAAAAGAGACTCATACAAAGAGTTCGAGTAGCAGCTGTAACAGGAACGAGTCTGCTAGATGACAGTATTGAAGACTTACTTGATAAACTTGGTTATGGTAATAACGAAATCAACTACATGAATTTAAGACAGATTAATATTCTCCTTTTAACATTAAATTAATATTTAAAAAAAAGGTAAAAACGAAGAGGATGAAGATCATCCAGAGAAAGAAGATGAGGATGAAAAGGCGACGATTCGAGAGCGACTCGTGGACGAGATTAAGTGGCTTCGTCGCGATCCGCCACCCCCACTATTGGTGAGATCTATACCTGGCCATTCAGAAAAAAATCGGTATACCATGCATAATAATGAAAGTCACTCGACTTGTTCTATGAATTACGAAAGCGGATGAAATTTGAGAGAGGTATATATATAAGGATGCACACTTTCGGTACTCGGTTCTCTCCGTTTTCTTCTCAAAGGTCTCGGCGTATTTGATTTTTAGTTGCACGATCTAAAACAATTTTAACTTCGATTTCGCTTATTCTGTCAATTTCTATTATCCTAGCTCATCATACTTGCATCATAGTTGCCGTCAGCTTGTTTGTTATTCTAAGTTGCACAAAAATATAACTCTGTGCATTTATTGTATATGATTTGGTAGCGTTATATATATAAGCTAGCATCCTTGCACTACTGCTGGGCCGCAGGCGGGCCGGGCGCCGCACGCGCTGCTGTGTCCGCTGTCGCACCGCCTGCTGCGCGAGCCGGCGCGCGCCGCCGACGGCTTCAGCTACGAGCGCGCCAATATACACGAGTGGTTTGTTGCAGCTGGTAAACATTTCACTTCCTTTCTATTTTAGCTTTAGCCTTATATATAGAATATTTTATTGGTTTGATGCATAAGAAATGAGCAAGTATTTATATTATTATTTGGTATCTTCTTCAACAGTACATGTTTACAGAGGGGGCTGTATCGCCGGTGTCAGGCCGCCGGTTGACCAACACACGCGTTATGCCCAACTATGCGCTGCGGAATGCACTGAGGGACTTCTTGCAAGAACATGGACATTGGCTGCAGTAAATCGCAGTGATTTTGAATTTTGCATCCTTACTAAATATGACTTTGTTACAATTACGTTCTCGATTGTTGATTTGATACTTATAAGGGCAAGAAAGTAGGAGATTAATAACAAACAATGATTCAACGATTTTATTTTTAATTGTATTACTTACATTTATTATTTACAAGTGAGGCAGTAACAGTGTTAACGAACCAAACTTCAACTCGGAACCACTGTTCAGTAATGATTATAGATTAAAATTAACAAACAATTGCGCGGCCGGCGGTGTGCGCCCACGCTCCAATTCATTAATAAAAGGAAACAGTAGTCACGTGGACGCACGACGTCGACCGCTCGTCGCTGCCGGCCCGCCTGCGACCGCAGTACGACCGCAGGCGGACCGCAGTACGACCGCAGGCGCACCGCAGTACGACCGCAGGCGGGCCGCAGTATAACCGCAGGTGGACCGCGGCCCGACCGCTGCGCGACCGCGCCACGCAGTCCTCGTGGAGTCACCATCGTCTGAACGCTACACCCGACGGCTGACGTGAATGCAACACACACATTCAGAGCTCGAAATAAATATACTGTATACTGCAATAAACAAGGGTCCAAATATAGCCCTCTATATTTTTATAATTACTCGTTATACTCGTTAGAAAATATTACCTAAAGCACCATTGTAATTAATAAAGATATATTGAAATATATTTTGTTCGTTTCTAGACATTGAAATAAGCTTTGTAATAGTTTATGAACTGATAGAGTAAGACGTTCATCCCAGCCAATTTGAAATACTTAGGATATTGTGCATTGAATCCTAGCTTACCATTGACAAATACCATTAGATAAACAATTTCGTGACCAAGAGCTTGCTAACAAACCTAATTAACCCGAGATGTGGCGACATATAGACTATAGAGTACTGAAACTTTTTACAATATTCGAATCATAAGTAATAATTATTTAAAACAAGCATAATTTTTTGGCAAATTACTTTAATTTTACACGCATATTTTGAATTTGTAATCTCTTAAAATTTTGTTATGTCTGTTTGGCTCTCTCCTCCGTTGTCAGTCCACATTTCATGGTATCTTATTTAACCTTAGAGTTTAAATTCAAATATTATAAAATTTTACACAAAGTAATTTGGGTATTTTTTAACTTACTTTGTGTAAAATTTTATAATATTTATACTTTATACTTTTTTAAATAATATCGAGACAAAGACAAAGAATAATATATTAAATTTTATATATTTTTCTATATTAGAAAACATTATGTGATGTAAGAAAAATGTTCTAATGACAGAATGTCAAATCGAAAGCATTCGTATCCGTTACATTCAACGCCAGTTGTATTAATAACTTAAACACAATACAGAATGAAATTAAAATCTAATTACACCGACTGCGTGGTCGCTCTCGGAAGCATAGATGCGGTGCCGCGCTGCGGTTTATCCAATAGCTCTCCCCTAATAAACTTATTGCACTCCATATGTAGTAGTTTTCTTGTGACGGTACGCAATTCCCTTCAATATTTGTACTGTTTAACAAATCATGAAAATACGACGTCCTTAGGACTCGAACGGTTTAAGTAATTTCGATGTCGCTATAGAGTATTCGAGCAAAGCTCCGCGCGGTGGCCGCGGGCCCGCCGCGCCCGCACGCAGACGCCGGCGCCGCGCCGCGGGCCCGCCGCCACCGCGGTGCGGTATATTCAATTAATAGTGATAATTTAATAGTAATATGTACAAGTTTACAACGTCGGCCGCTGCGAACGGCCGCCGGCGACGCGGCCACGCGGCCACGCGACGACGGTCGCTCGTGCCGGCCCTCTATGTACATAGTTTGTTTCCCATAATAATATAAACTTTAGTACCGATACAAATAATTTCGTTACTCCTCCTTTACAATATTACATTGTTCACATCGTATCACATCGCATATCGTTCGTATTATCTAATCAATATAGGTATTTGAAAATTTACAATACATTTAAATTTAATTCACTGCGCATCGTATGCGTAGTGTTTGTTGGACGTAGCGCGGGGCGAGGTCCCGCCGCGGCTCGGGCCGGCTCGCGAGCGTGTCCGCGAACACAGCAGGCGAGCAACACAACATCACAAGCGTCACGGTTCACTGGGCACTCGCGCAATGTCAGTGGGGCGGCGCGGCCGCCGCCCAGGCTGGGGCACTCCGCTATTTAGGCTCGTCCTCGTCGTGGCACAGCACTCTGAAATAATATTTCGGTACTAAATTAGAGACACATTAAGAAAACGATGACTGCACTCTACTAAATTATTATGGGAGTAATATGGACATATTTCTTATCAACATATGTATGAAAAAAAAAAACGATATCATTGTAAAAGCATCGATAAACTACGGAAAGTTCCGTAGATATCATATAAACTTAGTAAACGAGCTGATGCATTGAACGTTGTTTTGTTCCTTCCAATAAAGACAATTGTGTTACTCAAAATGTAGCAAAAATACATAGAATTGATTCTAAGTAAATCTCTGAAACTGCGATTTATTCGCACAAAAATATAATTGTTTTAATCGTCATAAAATTAAAATGAGACATGTGAGTAAATCGATTCAGCATTGACTTCAGAAAGTATCATACGAGTACTAGCATAAAATAAATATCAGCCGCCTCGAAAAACCTCTTTCTTCTGGAAGTCGCTTAAAAGAGCATTAATTAGAATCAACGCATAAAAATATTTGAAAATAGATAAAATTGTTAATTTTATTTTGAAATGTTACTTCAACACATCTTAATTTCACTTATTTAAAACAAATAAAGTATTCTATTCTATTCTAAATCCAATATGAATTATTCGCACATCTACCGCTAAGATTAGCAAAAGAACCGATCGTCCACCTGATAGTAAATAATAACTGCTTTGCAATTAAAAACTCAAAGAGGCCGCTACTGTGGACCTCGCATACCTACTCCATCGGCAATTTATACATATTTTTTTTTATTATAAGATGATTAATCCTACTTCACTCGATGAGGGAAAGGGATTGTAATTGTTAGTGTTAACGTAATTTACTTATAATGTCAACAATAGAAACAAACACTGGTTAACTTCATGCCATTCTATTACTAATGTCTCGTCGTAGGTTTAAAAGCAACAATGTTATGAAATTGAAGTTAGTTGAAAATATATCCATTTCAGTAAAGACGTGTGTTTTCTTGCACTTTAAATTGATATTGAAAAGTGAACCTTAACACCTTAACAGTTAGTAATGGAGACTAAGAGTCTCATCGCTAGCAATAATTAGGTCGACCTCCACGTGATCCCTCCTGGATCCCATAGTGCTAAATTTCAAGTCTATTCATCACGATAGGCTAGCTGACCTGCTTTTTAATCGTCATCTAACATTCCTCATTAGTGCCCCGTCGACGTATATCGGTAGCGCGAGCTAGGTTATCATTCACAAGATCCAGGATGGGGCCCGTTTATCTCTGCTTGAAATGGCGTACGGAATAACTTACGGAAAGAGCAGCGTGACGGCGACGAGTGCGAGCAGCCTGAGCAGGGGGCGCGCGGGGGGCGCCGGCGCGCCGAGCGCCCCGCCGAGCGCGGCGCACAGCAGCGCGCCCAGCGGCGAGCCGAGCTGCACGGCGCCGTTGCCGTGCTGCATGGCCGCCGGCTGCTCGCCTGCCATTCATATGCACGAATATCACTTCAGTACACGTCGTCACAGTAAAAACACAATCTATGCGAGGAGATTAGTAAACAGGAATGTTTATTTTACTTCACTTGGAGGTACCACCAATAATTATTTTATTACTACCGATCTATACCTTTTCTCTTTAAGATCAAAATGTAAAAACTAGAAGAGTATGTTTCTGATCCCAGTCGAGGTAGTCAGAGGCTGTCAGTTACCGCGGCAACGTAAACATATTGACGTATTTACCGCTGAGCACGTGCAGCACCACGGAGGCGGAGTCGAGGTTGGAGGGGGAGCACGAGTAGTTGCCGGAGTCCTCGCGCCGCGGGCTGTAGATGATCAGGTTGCCCACCTGCGAACGCGACGCAACACTATGTAGCTAGCACGTATGTCAAGTTTGCAACTGATTAGTCATAAATAGCCTACAAGGTTAAGCGTACAAAATATAGAATGATTAGCAGAACTTAGAGGTGTCGCAAGTACATTTCTGGTTATAATAAAATTTTGGTGATTGTATCATGGCAATGGTAAATAAGATCGTAAGATGGGTTTCAGTAGAGAGGGTTAGTTAAAGTAATAAAATAGTTCAAATTATTTCAAATTTAATATTTTTACACAAAACATTGACTTCAATTATAATAAAATAGCGGTCACTAAAATTTAAGTTCATTCTATTCAAAAGACCATAACGATTGGAAATGGAATGTGTGAAATCAGATGATATTACAAGCCAAATATGCAGCAAAAATATATATATTTATTATTTTAAATAACTTTATTGACCGATAGAAAATATAGTACAAAAGACGGACTACTATTAGCATTACTAATTGCATTCCAGTCAACCTTCGGGATGAACATTTAATCACGAACGCGGTACTACAATATAATCAAAATGCGGTAATATAATCAAATAGAGTACTTTCTACTTTTTGAAAATGGTTAAAAATAATGCACTTTTGATGGAATGATTTGTCAGCGAGGTGCGTGATAGTGCAGATGGGAATGTCGTGAAGGCAATGAACGTACGGTGGTGTCGGGCGCGACGCGCTCCATGCGTATCTCGACGAGGCTCTTGTCGTAGTTGAGCACGCGCTCGTCGTTGTGGTACCAGAAGATGTAGGCGGGCTCCTCGAGCGCCTGCGTGATCACGCACTTGAGGCTCACAGTGCTGCCCGCCTTCACGTACAGGTCCGACTCGCCCACGATCTCGATCTTTGGCACTGCGCCGCAACCACACTTACATCACTCAACGTCACAACAAGTACATATACAAGAACTACTGTAAAAGAAACTCAACTGCTGAATGATTAACATAAGACAGTCAGCTGAAGCCAGAAGTCTAATATTTTGTACAGACGTTTATTACTTAGCTTATTTGATGTTTTACGATCAACTAGTAAAATGTACAAGCAGCAAGAATAGAATATTTTATAATGTCGAGGTTTTCTTAGAAGATTACAGCATGGGATTCTTAAAAAAAAAAGAGCTTCATAGGCCACGGTAACCGCTTACTATTAGGTAGGCCATTTGTTTGTTTGCCATCTCAGTGGTATAAAAAAAAATGGCGACGTATGAGGGAACCGCGGCGTGATGTCTACGGTGCAGTTCTTGTCTATAGGCCACACTTACACTTACTTATCAGGTGGGCCGCCAGCTTGTTTGCACTTTTAAGTGTTATAAAAAAATTATCATGATTTTTATTTGATTTATTTTGACTGTTTTATTTTTGAATGAGCAATTTTGAAGAGTACTGGAGATACAGGCGGCAGTAAAGTGGTAATATAACAGCGAATGTGGACTGACCAACAACGTTGAGCTGCACGAAGTGGCTCATCTTGGGTTCGGTGCCGACCTGGCACTCGTACACGCCGGCGTCGCGCGCCTGCACGTACTTCACCTGGGGGCACACACAGCCGTCACTTACACATACACTCATGTTACATCTGACTAGACATTCGTATTGGGGTAGTAATACAAGGTCCTTTCGATTTGAAAGATCAGATATGGTAGAGATATTAGGGAGTGTGGAGTTCCGAAGCCTTACCCCTTAATTTACACATAGGTACTATATCTGTGCCTCTAGTGAGAAAGGGTATAACTCAAGTTATAGCCTTTTTCTTTTTTATGCTACTTTAAATAAGCAAATTTTTCTCTTTCGAATGGTATAAGAATCGTAACGATATCTTTAAAAACAATAGAGATAGTAGACATGTAAAAGGCTACAATTAACAAAATATTTGTGGTAAAAAAGTCATAATTAGAAATAAAACTACAATATTTTACAAAAATTATTTTTGTAAAATGAATCAGTTCGATTTGAACCCTTTTACACCATTTAATAGCGATTATTTTTTATAGCGTAAAATACACAACATTGTTTTTCTTCAATACTTCAATAAAATAGTTTTAATTCAACTTAAAACTATTTTCACATGATAATTTTAATATTTTTGTTAAGTGTGACTAGGTATAATAGAATTATTTTTAAAACTATAGGTTTTACACAAAAACCGACAATTTCATAAGAAAGAGGAGAAAAAATTACTATAAATGCAATCAATGACTTGTTCAATTAGCAAATAATAAAAGCAGCAGAATTTTTTTTCTTTATTTAAAATAGTTTTTTGGCTCTCCTGAAAAGTGGCCATTTTGAATTGAACCCTTTCTCACTAGAGGCACAGATATATATTTAACGAAGACGGTAATTATTAATTTTCCATGATTATCGGCTTGTTACAATTCCATGTCATATAAAACGACTTACAGTGTACGTACATTCTGATTCAGTAAGAGATTTTAAGTTATTCCTGACTTAACAAAATTCTGTTCCAATTCATCACCACTGTCATCTCACTGGCATAAGAGGCGTGGCGTCTTCTTTAACGGTTATGTGTGAATACGCATGAAGATTTCCTCAACGTTACAAATAATCTGTCACTGCCATGGTATTTGTTACCATGCTTTGCATCACGTCACATTATCTGCAGCTTTTATTCCATAAAAAACGTTTTAGCCAAATAACACCTACTTTGTTTAAATTGAGAATCATATTTCGTAAGGAAAGTAAATAGCAACAACTTTAATATGCTCGTGAAAGTATTCGTGAATATTTTCGATTCCCAAATTCAATATCCTTTTTGCGGCGGTGGTGAGCATCGTTTCGGCGTGATATGTGTTGCGGGGGTGTCGTGCCAGCCACACCCGGCGAGCCAGTCTTCGTCATGTAAATGAGAATTTGCCTTGCGACGAGATCGGATTAAACCGGGTATGTACATAACGAGGCGACACGTGAGCTGAATCACAATGAATACGTGGCCTTTTTTAAAGCTACGCCAATATTTAATAAAACATTCACTGTAGTAGAGAAATGTGCTACTCGCTTGAATTGTTACCGTCTAACTTTCAGTCTTCATGGCGAGTTTTATCACATATGGGATGAGCAGAGTTGATTAAGACTCAAAGATCTCTATTCTTAACAAGTCTCCTTTAATTAATTCTAGCATTTTTTTTGTGTAGCGGAAATTTATGCGTTCTTGTATCTATTTGAAAGGTATAATAACCAATGTAATCTCTGATATGAAATCCTCATTTTAAACAGGCGGCAAAACATGAATAGTGCCGTAAGTTAATAAGTACCCAATGTACATATGTATAGACGGTGGGCACCGCTTTACCTCATATGAATGCAGGAGAGCTCTCAGCTTGTTTGTCTTTATCAGCAATAAAGACGTATGTAGCTAGAGGCGTATTTGATGCGATGGTACCTGCAGAGTCCAAGTGTCGGTGGCTTCGACGAGGAACGCCTGGAAGCGCTCGTCCGCGATGAAGGTGAACCGGTCCACGGTGAGGATGTGCGCGTCGCGGCGCCGGATCCACGACACTGACTTGTTGCTTAACTGGCGCACCTGGAACACGTACACGAGTACATTATTTAATATACGTAATTATTCTATATTGTTCTCTGAGTGGAAATTATTCGAATAATAAATTACAAGAAATGGATCACATAGAGAAAACAGTGGGTGATTTTTGTTTAGATCGAAATAAATAGACATTGGTGGAATTTTATTAGATCGCAACTGTTTTGGTTCTATTTATAGTCGCTAAAAATATTGTGATTGATTCTCTATTATCAAATTGCCAAGTGATTACACTGTATGAAAATTCTCTTTGTCCATTCGCCTCTCTCTACTGAGTTATTATTGCTATAGAGGAAGTGACTGGCGCGTCAACAGAAGCAATTATAACGTGATTGATATTCAGTGCTAAAAATGTACTATAATCCTTATTAACATTATAAATGGGAAAGAGAGTTTATTTTTTACCTTAAACGCTATTTTACGGATTGACCAATCACTATGATATTTGGTATATACGTATTACGAGTAAAAGGAATGGAAAGGGATACGGACTTCTTTTATCCTGGTTATGAGGACTAAGTCGCAGGAGAAAGCTTATAACTATAGGTTGATACTGAAATCATTGGCATCCTTTTAAAGAGATCTTTATAAGACTAGTGGAAACTGAATATATTTCTCAATGAGAAAAATGTGCAGTTTCACTGGTCGTGTTTTACCTGGAATGGAATGAAATCAGAGATCGACAAGATATGTTTAAACAATAGTCAGATGCGTATATCTGAACTGTGCTAAGCACCTGGAAAGATGTGCGCATGCAACGGTTCATGCTGGACCGTGTGGGGCAGTGTATGATGGCAACGAGGCAGGGTGTGTTGTTACCTTGCAGGGCAGGTAGGCGTGGGTGCCGAGCTGCGTGGTGATGTTGTTGGGCGCGGAGGGGTCGAAGTAGGGCCCCGTGTAGAGCCCCACGTAGCGCTTGGCGAGCCGCGCGCCCCCGCCGGCCTCGCCGCACGACAGCACTGCAACACACACACACACACAAACATATAGAATAGAATGCAAGAACAGAATGTAGAATCAATACCCACAGATAGGAGACAAATAAATTTATCGATAGAACCGTTATCGCTATCCAGTCCATGTAACAACAGTAATAATTTACATGTCATACTTCTAATATTGAATTGCATTAAAATCTATATATAACATATATGATACATCTCAGATTCAGATATAAGAATGATTGAAATATTTATTATATGATGCCCTTTATTAAGCATCTATCTATCGATACGATGAGGTAGTGCCGTTCGATTTCTTATTTTCAACTTGACTTCAAAAAGAAGATCGTTTTGAATTCGGTTGTACTTTTTTTGTCTGTGATCTCGTTATCCTGCCAGTACTATACCGATTGGGAAAATTCTTTCTTTATCTGAAAGGATATAGTTACAGACTGTCTCCATAGACATTTTACCAAGATCAGTTCATTAGTTTACTTTTTACATTAAAATAACTGGTTTTGTCACAATTAAAGTTTTTTTTTGTGGGAAATGATTTTTAATTATTTCTCTTGCGAATGCTAATTGAAAACGTATATATAGTTCGAATCGTTTGGATTAAAGTCTAAAACTTCATACAAGATTAATAATGAAGTATTGAAAATACTATTAGACAAATGAGAGACATAATTATTTTTACAAATGAGCTGAAGTGAAACATTTAATTGTTAAAATAAACGAAAAACATTATCACTCATTAATAATGTTCATTTTGTATAAACCATAGACGTATGCATGGAATTGAATCGAAATTATAGAGAAATATTAATGACAAAACACGTTATACATCCTACTATACTAGGTACCATATTATAAATTTTAATCTTTATTGATAAATTTTCTCTATATTTCTAAAATTAATCCCATTAATGAGGTTTTATGCTCTACGTTTATGCAAATAATTGATTGATCGATTCCTATCTAAAGTGATATTACGTAAACGTATAGGTTGTATGGATCCGTGTGGTTACACAGTACGTAATTCAACATCATAAATTCAGAGCCATCGTCGATCCTCGCTTAAAAAAATAAAGCCGGAGCGAGTTCAATATCCGTAGCCCAGGAGCAGGCCAACAATGAAGGGTTAGCTTCATTTCCATTCTCAGTTTCCGCAGCGGCAGCTCAATAAAAAAAGTGATTTACATGGCCGGCCACGTCTGCGGGCCGCGGGGGACCACGCCTCCTTCCGAGCTGCTACAATACCTACTGGTCATCTAATTGATCCAACAGTACACGAAGTTATCTATTTTATTTACTTTATTGCCCTGTGCGGACGTATAGAGCGCAACTGAACTAAGCAGAACTGTACAATGGATGAAAGGTAATTGATAGTCTTACTGATAAAAAAAGTAATGCTTACAACTACATATATTCCCGGATGAGGTAGCCAGAGGCATAGGCCATTAATGTCCTAATGCTGAATGTAACAGTCTACTAGTACACATACTTATAAATAATATAAAAACACCCACACCGACACAAACATACATAATCATGAATATAAATGTTTGTATTGTGCGGGAATAGGGTTAAATATTTGCAATGTATTTTCTATTCTCATATTATTATCTGTATGTATATATTTTTATTGATAATTGAATACGCAAAAGAGAAACGGAAAATTGTATAAAATACTATTAATAAATTAATTTTCTTCTAAGAGCGTACTAGGCACAATATTTTTAATGGTTAGAAAATGCCATTAAGAAGCGTACTTTCTCAGTGAAAGGTACTCAGTTTCGTTACAATAATCGACGTTTGAGAAACTGCCAGCCTTTTATGTTGTGTTTATCAGTCAGCCAAGCACTAAGTAGGGTCAAAGTCTGGAATTAATTACTGAACCACTAAGTTCCTACCTAACATTGTAAATACAACTTAAGTAAGCCTGACTACACAGCGAGGCAGCGCTGCTAATATATTAGTAACTCATGGATGTATTATGAGATTTATTTTAAATCAGGAAATAGATTTTAGTATTTTCAATTCCGTTTTTATATTACACTTATTTGTCCACTATTTATAAACTTTTTTTTTGTATAACTTAGAATGGCAAACAAGCTGACGACCCATCTGATGGAGAGTGGTAACCGTCACCTATAGACATGAGCAGTGCCATGAGCATAACAGAGTATACTGTTTCGCCCATGATACCCCCCATGCGTTGCCATTCCTGGAGACTCAGGTGTTATTCCTCTGTACCCTGTAAATTCACGCCATATCACGCCCTTCAAACCAAAACACAGCCATGCAAACACAACTGCTTCATGGTAGAAACACGAATAGGACAAAGGTATCCAAGCAATCGACTTTTGTATAAAGTCTCTGGTACTTACTTCTGATGTAGTCTGCAGAGTATATTATATTTACATTTGGCATGTCCTGAACGATTACGTGACAAATCGGGACGCTTTATTTAGTTTCAGACGTGTATGTTGGAGGACTGGTAATATAATAAGATAGATGTTGTGTTAGTGTTATTAAAGAACTGTATTAAATGTACTTTCATTGAATTATTACTGTACTTCAATGAAAGCAAATAACAGTGTGTGTAGAGTGTGTATAGATAGAGACCGTCTGTGGTCTAATAGCAAATGTCGAATTGGTTCTCATGAAGTGATTCTGGACCAGGGTTCAAAATAATTCTCTCGGTACTCGTGGGTGGCGGATATTGGAATGGAAATTAATCCAAAATCACGGCGTGTCATGTTCCGCTGCCTTCTCGACGGGCACTCGAGCGGACGCGGGGCGCCGCTGCCGCCGCGAGACTGCACCCTCACGACCCTTGTTACGTAAGCAATATCATCCACTACACTCGCCGCACACTACACTATTGCATAATCTATTATGTAAATGACTAACCCGTATTAAAAATTATGAAAGTTACCTAGTTATTTCTGTATCATGGTATCCTTGTATGTATGCGGTTCGCAAATTTATTGGATAGCACAAAGGATGTTCAGCTATTTAAATTTTGAAAGAACTCGTAACCTGAAATGGGAAAGAAGTTGATGGTAGGGGTGGGTAACGTAAAGCAATACCTAGATATTTTACTTCCAATATTTATATAATGGCCCATTAACGAATATATCAAATGTTTGTTATCCAATATTTATTGTTGAAATAAAGAAGCCAATCGAAATTGATATAGATATTCGGCCGGTATGGGCGATGTCGAAATGCGTAGAGACATTTTTTCCACCATCAATGTCCAAAAGAACCCAATATATAGATATCGGAGCGGTACCAGTTACCATACCCATTGCTTAGCTGACGGTCGATCTGATGGAAAATTATAATCGTCGCCTTAATTCACACAACACGTTTCAATAAATTCAGCTTGTTGAAAAAAGAAACTGCTGAGTTTTTTGTCCGTTTTTCTTAGCTGGAATTACATTCCGAACTGGGAGGTAGAATATATATGTTGCTTAAATAAAAAATATTTCTTTGAGTTAATTTTTTTTATACAACTTAGAATGGCAAACAAGCTGACGGCCCACCTGATGGAAAGTGGTAACCGTCGTCTATAGACTTGAGCAGTACCATGGATATAACAAAGTATACTGTTTCGCACATGATACCTCCCCCCCCTCGCGTTGCCATTCCTGAGGACTCAGGTGTTATTCCTCTGTACCCTGTAAATTCACTGCCATATTCCACCATTCAAACCGAAACACAGCCATGCAAATACAACTGCTTCACAGTTGAAACACGAATAGGAGAGAGGTACCCAAGCAAACGACTTTTGTACAAAGTCTCCCTCTGGTTATACATGGTCTGTTAATATATGAACAACTCTGTGGAGATTACAGAATACACTGTGAGGCTTACGTTATTCTTCATATGTTGCTATTCCATCGACTCAGATATTTTGCTATTTGTGAAAAGATTGGTGTATTTAACTAACTTATGCTTTGGTGAACGAATGATCATTTTTATTAAGTTGACAAATTGTATTGTCTCTTTTAGAAATTCAACAGGTATTTACAAATATATTTAGATGCTAAAAGAATAGAAGTAAACGCGCGTTTGAATTGAGATTTATCATTAGGAGTACATAACTGGCACGAGGAGGCAGATGTGATGGGTGGCCCGCTCGGCTCGCGGTGCGAAGGCGCGGCGGCGCACCTCTCGCCTCGCACGCGTGTACTTCACAAATCATTTATCCCGTACCGTTGGCGCGGCGCCAGTCGCCGTATCGTCCTCTAAAGCAGTTACCGTCGTTACGCCCATTATGCCACTGTATTCTACCATAATATATTTACGGTTTTCTCTCACACGGAACTTGATATATTTTGTACTTGTAATAAATAGTATGCCCATAACTAAAGGTTTATATTATATTAATGTCAACACACGAGCCGCTACGGTATGTAGCCGATTTTGCTTCGTAAAAAAGAACTGTTTTAATCGTGACAAATTTAGTATTGTCTCGTGACTACGTCCAAACACATTCTGTTACAGCATACATTAGTGACAAGACTAATAACTTATTAATCATTGATAAAACATTAATAAATAAGTGTAGAATATATATTAAAATGTTATAAAGACACGATATCTTTTTATTGTATTATAAATTATAAGTTTTTTCATCGGTTATAAAAAAACCATAATTTAACCAATAGTTCATGGAACGGCATTCACGTTGCATCGCGTAACAGGATCATTATCTATATAAAATGGCAACATTTTACTCTTCGTCTCGAGATTATTTCGAAATACATTTCGATTTGTGTTGAAAATACGTGATTCGAGAAACTATTTTCGAATTTTGAGATTTTATAATAGAGAATGAAATGAGAATTAGCCTCCAGGATGCATTTTCAGAGCAAATATAGTATTAAATATATTTATGATATTTTTTGTATACGCACCTACATCTCTATATTTTCGGAACACTTGTTATTGCTCGGGCCACTGCTTTCATTTAGTCAATTTCACAATTTGTTAGCAGAAAGTTC